GTCAGCTCCCATATCTGTGAAATCAACAACAATCTCTTTCCAGGGAGCATCTGGAACTGGAAATCCCCCTAGCCCCGCCTTCAGTGCGGCTCTGGTTGGTAGTTCAACTGGTTACATGTCTCACATGTTGCAACAAAGTACTTGGTGATATCCCTCAAATGTGGATGCCACCAATTTTGAGAGATCAGACTATTCATCTTGGAGCTTGCACAGTGTCCTCTGCCTCTTGACACAGCAAACTCAGTAGTCCTGCTGGGGCTACTATTTTACCCTTGTTCCTGTCTGATCCTTAACTGCTGCAAGTGTTTTACCAGATAGTCAGTTGAAGTCACAAAACCTTTTCTCCTCCAGTGGCACAAGTCTACATGTACTGCCTGTACTGCGTACGCAGAATCTGTGTAGATATTTACAACTTTGTCTTTTGACAACTGACACGCCTTTATCAGAGCAATCAGTTCAGCCATCTGAGCTGAACATGGCTGTGGGATAACATCAGCTTGCAGTGTTCTTAAGCCAGCCGTTGTGTCCTTGACCACAGCGTATGAAGCGACTACACTGCCGGTAGCTGTCTAATGACTGTGATCATCACAGTACAATGTTAACCTCTGCATTAGGTAGCGGTTCCTTATGCAGGTTCTCATGCAGTCTCAGCTCTGTGTCTGTTTTGCTCACACAGTCATAATCTTCCTCAGTGACCATCTGCGTAGCCATGTTTGTTCCTTCACTTGTAAAGTGTATGTGAGTGTGAGCCTGGTTCAGTGGCTGTTGTAAGTTCTGGGTCCTGTGGGCAGACAATATGAAAGCTTTGGAATCCAGAAATGCCCTGAAATGATGTGTGGTGTGTACAACAGTTTGATAACCCATGGTGATATGTAAGGTCTTCAGTATCGCTCGACTGATTGCAGCAACATTTCTCACACGAGTTGGATGTCCCTTTTCAACATTGTCCAACTTAGAACTGTAGTACATCAACACCTTTCGGTTGTGTCCTCTACTTTCCTCCCTCTTTTGAAATAGGACGGCATTCACAGTGCCGTCCTTTTCATCAACATCCAAATGAAAAGGCTATGAGTAGTCAGGTGCATGCAAAGCACATGTGTGTGCCAAAGCCTGTTTAATGGCGACAAAAGCTTCCTCTGCTTGTGGAGTCCACAACAGAGTAGTGCAAGATTTGATTCTTATAGGCTCTAGTTATTTTATAAGCTCTAGTTACTTCTCATAACTTTAGTTCCCTTAAGTTACTTTTCAGTTAATTTTCTTTGTTATTTTTCATACCTTTATTTTCCTTGCTTATATATATATATATATATTACAGCTGTATTGATGATTGTCCAGAACTACTGAGCTTTGGATACTTTTAATACATTTATTTTCCTTCCTTATTTATCTTATGAGAGTCAAGTGATACTGAAGTGGGATTGCATGCTGTAACTTCTGTAAAAACAGGATGTCTGCCTCTCCTAGCAACCAGACAGCCTATTTACATTTTAACAAAAACCTGTTGGCCTGTTTTACACCAACACCTCGACCCACTTCGCATATCCGAAGTTCTGCTTTGTCTCGGGGTGTCCTGCAGAGCCAGGGGGCCCACAACCTGAGATGACCACCTGGCCAGTTTAGCATACTTAATAGCATCGCACACACAGGGAGCCTGCAACTCAGGTCACCCATTATTCAGTGCTCTTGATCAAGATCAGGCTGCCATCTGAGAGACACACATACACACACACACCTGGTCCAGATCGCATATCAGCAAGCAAGCGCAGGCAGGGGTTGACCTACTCACTCCAAATGGCCAATAGGATTACAAAGTGTGTATTGCTGTACCTTTGTTTAGGGTGGGCCTAGCCCAGCCAGATAAATGCATTGTAAAAACATAACTCGTGGTTCAGAGAATGGATTTCCTGTGGGAGCTCTGATCCCAGCGCTGTAAGACTTAACCTGTAATCAGACTTCCAGTAAACTTTGTTGATTTTAAACAGTCTTCTCCTGTCTTCACTTCTCGTGCTTCCAACAAAATAACTGGGTTAATTTCTAACAGTAGAACCATAGTTCTTGTAGCCTGCCTCTGTAAGCATGGCACGGAGAGATGCCACAAAGCCGGTGAAATTGGGCACAGAATTCTTGCTGTAATTATTAAGTCCTAAGAAAAGCATCATGGTCTTAACGGTGGTGGGCTTAGAATGTGAGAGAATATCAGTTTTGTGTGACTCAGTCATATGCCTCTGGAAGTGGGTAGACTTGATACTGATATCACGGTGCACCCTGCGACTCCTGATATGAAAAGGGACATTTACGCGACCAGTGTCCTCTTTCATTATAAATCCAGCACCTGTCATCTCTTGGCGGTCCTCTTCCTCATGGCCTGGCACGGTACTGAGGTCCACAGTACATGGGAACAGAATCCCACTGATAAGGTGGTGCGGTCAGCTGTTGAGCAAAGGATTGCTGCTGTGCATATGGCTGTACAGCATTCTGCACAGGCATTTGGTTAGCTGTAGCTTTACTTTGATTAACTTTGT